ACATGTGAATAAAGAACAATTTGTCAATGGAGACATATTTATGTATTTTTCTCTAAAGTCTCATAACCCAAGTCATTCCCAAGAGTTCAGATAGTTTACATAAATATAAAGCAGTAAAGATCATCATACAAATATGATATAGCAAAAATACCTTTAAGAGCTAATAGCAACTTCTGTTTAGTGTTATAATCCAGATAGCATATTTAAAAGGCAGGTCTTGATAACCTTACACACAGCAGTCCAACATATTTCAGGGAGAAGCAAATTTTATATGACTGGCATCATTAGATGGGATAGTAGATTTGCCCTGAAGATGGTCCTTAAAAGTATTCTGGACCAAAGCAATGGAGGGCTTCAGAGGTCATAACTGCTGATTACAGTTCTACAGAGGAATTATTGAGTCTGTCATCTGCACCTCTATAACTGTCTGGTTTGGTTCTGCAACCCAGCAGGACAGACACAGACTCCAGAAAATAATTAGGACTGCAGAAAAAATAATTACTACCAACCTGCCTTCAGTCGAGGACCTATGAGGCAAAAAGAGGGCTGTGAAAATATCTACAGACCCCTCACATCCTGGACATAAACTATTTCAACTCCTACCCTCAAAACGATGCTATAGAGCACTGCACACCAGAACAATTAGACAAAAGAATAGTTTTTTCCCCCGAAAGCCGTCACTCTGCTAAACAAATAATTCCCTCAACGCTGTTCAACTATTTACTAAGTCTGCATTACCATTTATCTTCTCATCATTCCTATCACCCATCTCCTCCCACTTGTGACAGTATGACTGTAACTTTGTTGCTTGTATCCTTAGCTTGTAACTTTGTTGCTTGTAGTATGATTTGATTGCTTATTTGTACCCTATGACTATCATTAAGTGTTGTACCTTATGATTCTTGATGAATGTATCTTTTCTTTTTATGTACACTGAGAGCATATGCACCAAGACAAATTCCTTGTGTGTCTAATCCAAGGGTCTTCAAACTTGGCAAGTTTAAGACTTGTAGACTTCAACTCCCAGAATTCCTGAGCTAACATGACTGGAGGAGGAATTCTGGGAGTTGAAGTCCACAAGTCTTAAAGCTGTCAAGTTTGAAGACCCCTGGAATCACACTAATCATTCTGTGCTGTCTCATGCACAGAGGTGGATTTGTAGCTGTGCAGATGCAGATAGATAATTCCACAAGACATCCATAACAAAGTACATTTATTGGTACCTCAGGTATCTTCATAACTCACATTTACGATGAAATTCTTCTATAATGACCAATCCTTTGTATATCAGCCTTGCAGGTAAAAGATGGTTATTTTCCTAACCCATCTCGTAGCGGTAAGCTGCTTATCAGTTCATGAGTCCAGGCAAGAATGGAAGAAACCTCCCTCAACCCGAGGGTCAATTTAGTGACCAATCAGGATTGCAGATGTGGCCACGTGACATGAACTACATTTCCCAGGATACCTTTAACTACATTTACCAAGATGCATTCCCGTAAGGGGACAGCTCACAATTCCTAAGTAACTATCCAACTCCCATAGACTGGCTGGGACAGCACACATTCATTCATTCATTCATTCATTCAAAACCAGCACCATAAACTATACCCAGAAATATTCAAGCAGCTAATGTAGTGTCAACATTGGTACTGTATTAGTCACTGCATTTTGTACCAGCTGAAATTTCTGAGTTACCCTCAAGGGCATCCTCAGGTAAAGTGTGCTGTAGTAATCCACCTGAAAAGTAATAGGGATGTATACATTAAATACAGAAAGTAGCTAAAATCTAGTTATGATTTCCTCATGTATTTTAAAGAGCATTAAAAGCACTATATAAATCTTTAAAATTATGTCCTGGGAGGACCCTTTTTAGCCTTAGACTGTGACACTTATATAGACTATACTCTACCATATTCTCATGTGTATGAAATATTTCAAGCAAATATAGCTATTACTAGGATAACAAGCTATAAAATAGTCATGACATTGAGCTAGCTGTTCCATTAAATTTGCCACATCTACCTTTTTAGTTTAAGACCAAAACGTGGCTAACTTAAACTGAATCCATTTATATTTTTGCTACTATTTGCTACCATGATTGTAGCAATTTAACATTTAAGTTGCTCCAGCAGCTCCTGTTCTTCAGCAGTATAGCAACCTCTCATTTGAAAAAAATTCTCAAAATTACAATGTTTCACATCTCCTTTGATAGCCAGTTTGAGGTAATGGTGAAGGCTGGAAACCTGGAGACCACGAATTCTATCTAGTTTTACTTTAAGTGAAAAGCCAGCTGGGTAACTTTGGGCCAGTTACTTTTTCTCAGCCCTAGGAAGGAGCAATGGCAAACCTGTTCTAAAAAACCTTGACAGGAAAATTGCAGGGACTTGTCCGGATAGTAGTCTTTGATTGAAATGGGGAAAAAAATGAAACTCTTGACTGTTGACAAATATTGTTGGCTGTGCCATTATTGTATTGATTTGTTACTGCTGAGTATATTGTTTGATCATATAAGTGTGGTTATTTTTATACTTTGCATGCTCTTTTAATTATTTTTAGCTGCTCAGAGTCATGAACTTGAGATGGATGCCATTTAAATTGAGATAAATAAATCCTAAATTATCCACTGTTCCTCATTTAAAAACTGTTTAACACAATCTTTCATTCAGCCCTTATTCGTTAACACAGGTTGTCCCAAAGGTGCTTTTTTCCAAGAGGTAGTTGGACTTTCTGGATTTTCTTTGAAGTCTTCAAAGAAAACTAAATGCATTCTTTTAGCAAGAATGAACTGCTGTCTGCAAGGAGTACAAATTCTTCAATTCAGAGCGGAAGAAGCTTCTTGGATGAGAAGTGAAACCTCTTCAAAGAAGTCCAGTTGCCTCTTGAAAAAAAGTACCCTTGGGACAACCATGACCTGAATGACTGAGAATCTCCACAGACAGTTAACACAGGTTGATAACAAAGGGCTTGGATATTATGAGCCTCTTACCTTGAAACCACATAGCGTCCTATGCTTTATAGGCTTGGGAGCATCCTCAGACATACCATCTGATGCTTATTTTGCACCCTGGGAGTGCAAAGGATCCTTGTAACAGAACCTTGTTAAAGGTCTAGATAGCAAAAGCATAGCTTAGGAACACATATATCAGTCCTACGGGATCAAAATGAAACACAACTCAGTATGAGATTTTGTGGGAGTGCTTTAACTTCAGATGAATGCTGACAAGACAGTCATGCACAGAGATGCCAACAGATAATAATTGGAGCATCTCAAACTTATTCTGAGCTTTTCTGGTTTCTGACACGGAGAAATCTGAGAACAGGGCACATTCCTCTCTACCTGTCTGCATGACTCAAGGAAAAAAAGGAACATGGATTCATTGCCGGGCTGCAGTAGAAAGATGTTGACGGTGCTCCTGTGCAAAAACAGCCTTGCAACTCTTTGTGCTCATAACTTCTCACTCCAGATGAAAGATGGGGGGGGGGGGAGTTATTTTCATCAGATAAAAGCATCGGCAAGGACCTTTGAATTGTGCAAGCTCAATGTGTTCCATAAACGTGCAGTGCCAGAGCCTTTTATTTTTCTCTTGAGGTGGCTTCCCTTTAAAAGAAAAAGACAAGTATGGCTGTCTGCACTGTAGGTAACGACCAGTATGTTGAAAAGGAAAGAGATTTTTAATAAGGGGGGAGGGAGGAGACATTGACTTGCAGATTATACTTCCAAAGAGTCCTTCTATTCTAAAGCTACACTAGCACCCAGAGCATTCCCCCCCCCCCCCCCCCCCCCTCCCCCCCCCCCCCCCGCCAATCTCTCTATTTCAGTCAGATCTCTCGGATCTGCCTTCACTGCAGCCAAGATTCAAGCGAGAGACCCATCCGGACTACTCAAGGACAAGGCTATGAGTTGACCAGACGGTCGAGTCCGGACAAGCCGGCCCGCAGGTTACCCCTAAGAAAGACGCAGCAAGGCAGGGCCCGAGACTTTGTGTGCGCGCCTTCCTCGCCTCTTCCTCCTCCTCCTCCTCCCATGTTGCGACTTGGCCACTCTCCGGGCGGGAGAGGTGAAGCGATCCACTTAGGCCTCCCTCCCTCCTTCCCTCTCTCCACGGCTGCGTTAACAGCTGTCGGCCACGCAGCCGCGCGCTGCCTGAAACTAACCCGTAGCGGGGACAGGGGCTGCCTTTGCGGCGCTCGCGCTTTTTTTTTTTTTTTTTTTTTGCAGCTTTGCCACCGAGACCCGCGCGGACCCACCCGGCCACCTGTCTGGCCTCGGAACTTACTCAGCTCCCGCCAGCTTCGGTGGGCTGATTCCTCCTCCCCCCCGCCACCCTTCCCGCTCCCTCTTTTCCGTGAGGGCTGCATGACGGCGCACGCCGCCGCTCCCTGGACAGCTTAGTTTCGCTCCGCTCTCGCTGCCGGCGAGAACAAGACTGCGCGGGAGCTTCGCGGCGCTGTGAATAAAAGGCGCGCTGGCTGGCTGGCTCGCGCTCTCCCCCTCGCTCACACGCACGGGCGCGCGATACAAAAAGCGGGCGAACACCCCCCCCTCGCCTCGAGCGGCATTGCCTTCGGACCAAAGTGAGCGGGGAAGCGCGGCGAGGAGAGGCAAGGTGAGACCCTCCTGCCCCAGCGCTTGCCCCGTCGACAGCCCTCCCTTTTCTTCCCTCTCCCATCGAAGCTCCGCCTGCCTCACCAGCACGAGGTCCGAGAAGTAAGTCCGGCAGCACCTGGCGTCCGCCGTCAGGTTTCGGCGGCCCGAGCGACGGTTGAGGGGCGAGCCGCAGTGCTGCCGCCGGACCCACCACCAAGGGCGCCGAAGTTTTCGGGTCCGCCGACTCTCCTTTTCCTTCGGAGCCGTGGAAAAAGATGGTGCCGTGACTTGTTTCCCGGCCGGCCTTTTGCTCCGCTTTCGCTCCCTTCTCTTGCCGCAACCAGCCCCTTCGAGCGGCGGAGTCCACAGAGAAGCAGAAGCTTCCGAAGCTCGCGAGTGAGCAAGGAGAACCATGCCGGAGAGCGGGCGCCAGCTGCGGACTCTGCCTGCCTTCCTGGCTCTGGTCTGGACGGCGGCTAGCATCAGGCACGCCGGAGGGGCCGGTTCGGAGCAGCAGATCCCCTTGTCTGTGTGAGTGTCGCAGGCTGTATGGAAAAGTCCGCCGGTGCCGACCGACGGTTGGGATGGGTGGGGAGAGACTTCTCGTGGTTTTGGAGGGGTGGGGGGCATTGCGCTGGCTTCTCCTCAGCCTTTCTGACAAGGAGACCCGGCTGGCAGCTCTTGGAATTGGGCTGGACGAGAGCGGCAAACCTCGCATCGCAAGCTTTCCACCGCGATGAACTTTCGACTGCGGCGCCGACTAGCTCCAGCCGCTTTTCTTGCATTGCGGTCCCGTTTCATCTCAGGTGTTCGGGGATAAGCGATCTCGCAAAAGCTGATCTTAGAGACCCCGTCTCTGTATATATCCTGCAGTTTCTCCCTCTCGTGCGTTACGGATAACTTTCTCTTGAAGTTTGGCCAAAAGAGGTCTGACTCACGCCTTGCCTAGCAGAATAGTTCGACTCGGGGATGGTGGAGGGGTGGTGGTGGAAATCTTCACTTCGGAATCGCCACCATGTTGTTTTAAAGGGGAAAATCTGGGAACTGACCGTTCAGACTCTGCCGTGTTTTAACTGGGTCTGCCTGTCTGAGGTGTTTACTGAAGTGCGTAATTACATTTCCCTTTTCAATATATGTTCTCTGCCTGTTTTTTTTTTCTCCGTAGTGTAAAACTCTGGGCCTCTGCCTTCGGTGGGGAGATCAGATCCATTGCAGCGAAATACTCAGGTTCCCAACTTCTGCAGAAGGTAAGGATCCCTCTAGTTTAAGATGAATTTAAATGAATGCTGAAAAGGAAGGAGGATTTGGGTACTAGACAAGCCAGAGGAAGAGCAGCCTTCCTCTGGAGATTTTCCTCTGTTCCTTCCACAACACTTTTTAACTGCCTGCTGTCTCTTTTCCACTGGCAGAAACCACAAATTTCATCAAGGGTGGGGGTTATTTTTACATTACAGCCCACCCAGTGACTTTCACTATCTCAGGTAAAGCTATTTAGACTGTTGCCAGTATTCGTTTTGATTGCAGGTTAGGAAGTTAACCTCAGTTTTTCTCTTGTTTTCATCCCACACATGCAGAGATTTTTTTGAGGAAGGAGAAAAACTGGAAATATTATGCTTCTTTGTTTAGCTGTACTTTTCTGCAACATCATCAACAACAAAATTGACTGTAAAAAAAATTTCCCCCCAAACTATTATTCTTGCAGACATCTCAGGTCAGTGTTGGGATGTATCACATCATTACAGATAAGGAAAATGAATGTGGCTATCTGCCGGCTCAGCTGCACAGCTGGATAATAAGGTTGTAAAATAGTGCAAAACCTTCAGAAATGGGGCTAAGTCTCCAAAAGTCTGATGAGTAAGGAGGATAGAACATTATTTTTATAAGAAGCTGCATCTGAGCTCACTTAAAACAAACCTTATACAGAAAGTTCATTGTTCAGTTAACGTGTTTCAATAGAACTGTTGGTGAATACAACACAAATGAGAAATGGGGGGGGGGGGGGGGGGGGTGTTGGGAACTAAAAATGTTTGAGAATTTCAGTTTCCTGTGATTTCAAAACGTAAGCTTTAGAGGCAAAGTTCAGATTCATTTGACTGAAATGATTTGATCAAATTTAAAATGTTTTTTAAAAAGAGGCTTAGCTTTAAATTAACAATAGGCCATGTGTTTTTGCTGGAAGGGTCTAATACAATTCCTATCAGTGAGCTGAAACACTTTCTTATTCATGAGGAATTGTATGACAAGCTTTCCCCTATTGCATTGGTGAGGCAAACAACAAACTTTTATGATTCAGTAAGTGTAGCTGATGCAGTAAACCTAATGATGATTGTGGGAACATAATAAACAAAACACAAAGGCTCCTTGTTTTTGTTCTGTAGCACAAAGGTGATTTGATTAGGATAATTGGCAATAGCAATTTCTGGGATTTATAAGTATCATTGAAATAATTTAAGGTGCTTTTCTCAATCCCCATGGGATCACGTTTGGGCATCTGAAATAACATCTGCTTCATAATCAGAATGTCGACTTTGCATGCTGTGAAAGAAAAACTCTTCTAAATCAGGATATACACATATACTACACTATGGGAAATTTCAATATCACAACCAAGTCTGAGATTATTGAAAGATGCACCAAGCTTAATAAAATATTGTTCCTGGATATATCTTCAATTAAAATTTTAATTTTGGAATTCTGCCTTGATTTAAAATCCGTGTTTTATAAGGAAAATCTCTAACTGTTTAACCATTGAATGTTCATTTTCTACACATTTCATAGCAAATCAAGAATGCAAAAAGTTATCTTTATAATAATTCTTTTCCCATTTACTTTAGAGCTCCTGATATGTGGAATATTTGTAGCAGTCAGATGCCTTTCTTTTGGTTGATGTATTGCAGTGTTGTAATTAGAAATTATTACCATGCTCACTTTACATTTTCTTTATCATCTTTTAGTTTCATTAGCTAGACAGTCTTTCAGCAGCTCGACAGTATGTATTTAATTCCCATCTGGAGATTTTTGTTTTTGAAGTTGATACACTATAACTAAATGAAACAGGAAATACAAATGCTGAGGTTATTTGTATTCAAGGTTGTACAGCTGATGGTATATTTATGGTGTCCTTGTCTTTGGTTCTGTACTTTCAGATATTTAATTCAATTTTATTTTAATGTCAGTTTTTCTGCATTCAATCTATACATTTTTGTAACTGCAAAACTAAGGTAACCGATCTCTGTTACAAATAGTTTTTTTTTCATCATCACACTTTAAACATTGCTATATAAAATATGTGCATTGTCTTTTTGGATGTATCAGAATTGGAGCTTTCAAACCATAAATATTCACTGGAACAGCAGTGATCAAAACTATTATTGCAATGTCACAATTGCACAATCTGAAATGTGAAACTCCCCCCAGCGCTATTCTGATGCCTAGGATACATCTGGTTTTACACTGTTGTACATTAACACAAGTGTAACTTTCTTTCTCTCCCCCTGTAAAATAAGAATAATGAGAATGAAAATACTGAAATTCCAGATATCACATCCAAGGGGGTCTTAAAATCAAATAAAGAATTAAAGTGATACTGTGGGCCATGCAAGTTGATTTTCAAGGTAACTAAATTGTTCATAAGCATACCTTATAATTTGTATTTGTGCTTTTTTTCATAAAAGGCAGAGAGGGCTTTGGAAATAAAAAAATAAATTTGGTTTGATCTCACTCTGAGGTACATTATTTTGTACTTTGGTTTCAGTGGATATCTTGCATTTCACTTGGAGCCACAGTGTAATATTATATTTTAGAAGCTAAAATTATTGGAAGATAATGTGGATAGCGATATGTGAGACACAGCACTACACTGCAGCACTGTAGCTATCCAATCTAGAAGCAATGCAGAGAGTACTTGAGAAGACACCTTTTCTATTTCTCATTACTTGTTTTGGAGCAACAAGCAAAATATTTTGGACATAATAATCTTTATTTGAATCTACTTATTTGAAAATAAAATTTGCATATTTTAGCAGATTTTATTTTGTTTTTAGCATACTAAAGTTCAAAACCTGGAGGATACAAAGAGAAGAATTAAGTCCTCAAAGCACTCTTATCAATGCTAGGCACCCCATTTACATTATCTTCTATTAATGGCCTACTTTATGATTAGGCTTGTCTCAATCTGTATAGGCTGTGTTCTCGGCTACCCTAAATATTTTCTTATTCCAATCCTTCTGTTTCCTCTACACTCATGCAAAGGACCATTATCCTTTGATAGTAGTGTCTTTTGATTAAATCCAAAAGTATTCATAACAGTCCTGAATTCAGTAGGAGAGTTCAAGACGGATTCCTTTTCAGCCAATGCATTTTCATGCTTTAAAAAAGAAATATCTCCATTTACATCATCTTCTATAATCCAAGTAAGTTTGGTGAAATTTCGATTTCAATTGTCATCTAGATTTGGCACCATAAAATAAATCGTCTACCTGCTTAGTTGAGTGAGAAATCATCTTGACTTGGCAAACACTGTAGTTAGGTTTAAATTAAGTATGGAGCTGTTTTATTTACAGTCAAGTTTAAACTTTATGTATATTTTGAAAATGTATTTCTTTCAGACTAACACACCTTAAAATGCTGTATTTCCCAAGTATGAGGCATAAATCACCATGCATAATAATCTTTCAGTTATACAGGTGCATTCTCATTCTTTTCAGTTATATGAGTGAACTTCTCAGAGAATTGGGCTCTTTGTGGATATTGAAGATTTGAATGACAATAAGGTTGCATTACAATACTTCACTCTAATAGATAGTGCTTTCTGCATTAAAGGAAGGATTTAAAGATATGGGAGGTTGCTATTTTGCCTGCTGTCAGATGGGTCTGAATATTAACTATTATCTGTGATCCAGAGGTTTATGAGCATTTCAGTTACAATTTATCAGGAATTGCTTTTCTGGCAAACAGTCATCTGTTTGAGCAATAGCTATAAAATGCGAGAAGAGATAGAAATTGTTTACATTTTCTTAAGTTTAAAAATTATATATCAAGAATGGTAGTTCATGTGTATTTCACATATTTCTTTAACTATGCCTCTTTTTCTCACATTTCATTTGTACACTTTCGAACATATATACATACTGATACTTTGATAGGGTAGAATCCTCCACCTTTATTTTTTTCCCCTAGGTATGGAATGGGCTCATTGCATTCATACCTCAAATGAAATCAATTATTTTTGAAAAGCTATTCAAGAATTCTGCCATCGCCCTACCATGGGCCAATGCAGCACACATTAATCATCTACACCAGACAGTTGTCTTTGCGCATGAAGAGGGGCTTTTTGGGGAGGGGGGGTCTTTCCCTGACTGCTATGGAGGGTGTTGCCTAAGCTAAGGTCTGCACTGCAGGTGTCTGCCTGGTGCAGGCACTGCTGTATGCTGCTGATAAGGCTGCTTTCAAGACAGTATCAACAAAATTAAATCCACTACTATAGGCTTTCTGGAGTTAACAGGACTGTCCCTGGGGAAGCATATGACAAAATACATCATGTTTTCAAGTTAGATGTCTTTAAAATAATTTTTTAGTGCCCTTAAAAAAGATCCAGGAGAGACTTTTGCAGGTAGAGGAAGTGATTTGATTGGCTTTCTTTTGTTATTTCACATCACGGGAGAGCTATTAGAAGAATCGGGCAAAGTTTCATCAAGTTTAAATATTAAAAACAAAAACAACATCTTCCTTATTGAATTTACCAACTGAAATAACAAAGATAAAAGTTAGCAAAGTTCCGTTTACATACTGGTTGCATTCATACAATGTGCCTCAACATGTCTTGTAAAGATGTTGGCGATATCTTTGAATAAAGTGCAACCCTAGCTAGTTTTAAGCTTATCTGAATGTATTTGCAACTTAGTATGTTATGTGAACTCAAACCACTTGGTTAATTAATCATTCAGTTTATTGTGTTAACTTAGAAGATGTGTTAAATATATTGAATGATCATAGTCATATTTGATAAGTTGATGAGATGGGTTTATTCTTCCCTTCTTTAAAGATACATATTGGATATGTAAATGCATATAATTGCTGAGATTATATAGATTTAGTGTTATGCATATTAGATAAAGCAAGTGCCTACATGAGTACGGTCCAATGCTAAACAGCTCTTATAGATTGGAGTGCAGGTAAAATATTGATTATAGGTTAAAACAGAAATAGTGTAGGAGAGCTGGCAGTAAAAACAAATATGATTTGCCTT